AATCATTAACGTGCAATGTTGGTCGTATTCATATAAACATTAGAATTGTTACTTTTAGTAACTTCGAAGATGTGAAGCTTCGGAAGAATTCAAATCTTCAAAGTTAAACTTTCGACGTTGAAAAAATATATTTATGCAAATAAAAAAAAAACGAAAAAAATATTCATAATATATATTCATAAATATATTAATACATTTTTTAATGAAAATATTTTTATTACTATTATAATCATATTAAATTAATAATTGTATAATTTTTATTATTCCAAACTTCAAAGATTTTAATATCAAAGTTTTGAAGCCTTTGAAATAAATCATCATCATAATATATGCCGCTAGTATTGAAAGTCTATAGTATACGTGATGTAAATTATAAATTTTCAGTAGTAGCGGTGCATATCGGAATACGGCTTTTGCCGAGGATTATTCTGTTACCTGTTATATCCTTAACTTCGCGCCTTCCCATGTATTCGCGATAAATCGCTTGCAACAAATGTTTGCCAAGACCTATTCTTCGAAATGGTGGTAAAATTAAAAATTGAGCGATGCGTGGCCGAATATGTTGTGGATAAGCATAATATTGGTACACAGTAGCGAAACCAATTGTCGCATATCGGGTAGTACCCACAGATGTAGTATATTTTTCGAATCTATTTTAAAAAAGAAATTATTCAATGAAGATCATGTATATTATACACATCTATATATTGGTGGAGTAGTAAGATATCGAATGACTCACAAATTAAAATACTGCCATTGTTCGTCATCGATATCAATAAAAAGAGCCGCATCTATGTACCAAAGAAGGAATGTTTGAATTCTTTGATGATATTCTTTGAATCCTTTGTAACCCATATCTGCCTTATAAATCACAAATTGCCTCATCGTGCCTTCATCTATGTATCATTCAATAAAAACAGTAATAATTAATCATTATAGCTTATAGTTATAGCTAATAGTAATCATTATAGCTTTTAAATTTGAAGTCACATGTATAAAAACAGAAATAAGAGAATTAAATACCATTTATTGAGAAAGACTGTATCAATTCTCCGTATGGTATAAATGTCTCATCCTTGGTAAGCGCCTTAGTGAAATTCGCTAAACTATAATGAACATCAGGAGCGAGCTTTGGAATGATCTTTGTTAACACTTCATCGGCTTCGACTCCCTCATGTTTTGCATTTACTTTCTCAGTATATTTCATACCTAAATATGTTTCCAAAGAGCCTGCTGAATAGAACAGCTGTACTTTCAGGTTCAAATAACCAAATATTATTTCCCTATGAAGCATAAAAAGAATAAGAATAACAAGATCCACACATATATGAAAATACAACACATATATATATATATATATTTCATGATGTGCATAATGCATCATTTATTCTTGTTCAATATTCGATAAATAACAAGGATAAATGATAAAATAAGGATGATGCATCATGCATATGTCTACATAGTAATTAATAAAAAACATAAATCTCAATAAATTAATATTATAAACAAACCTATCTCCGAATACTTGATAAGTCATCTCTGGTTTGAAGATAGCTTCTTCCGAATGCAAGTCATCGAGGTTGCGGATTAATCTAAGTTCCAGGGCTTCGTTACTGTCTGCAACTAGCTTCTTTAGACGTGCTATTGTCGAATCTTCCATTTTTGAGCAACAGTAGAACTGAGGAAAATAATATATGGTCGTTAAAACTCCGGTTCTTCTTAACTTTAAAGATTCGACCTTGGAAATAAAGATCAAAATAGGTTAGGACACTGCAAGCAAACAACGTCGAGATGTCGGCGCAAAAGGACAAATACCTGGTATTAATGATTAAACCGTGTAATGGTGATACACGGTTGGATGAACCGATTGAAACCTTTTACGTCAATCCTTGACTCCCAAACACGATTTGGCGCCAAAAGCGGCGGTTTCGAGCAAAGTGATTTCCGAATGGAACCGTTCGCAGTTACTTCCTCAATCATCGACAAAGTATTATAAAGACTAGTTTTATTTAAGTTTGCATGCTACTAAAATTTGGATGATTATCCTGTGATTACTTTATAATGTACAATATTAATTTTATGATTTATTATTAATGTTTCATAGATAAGCATTATTTTCGATTGATATCCGATATTGAACCGATTTTTATTAAAAATTTCACTTTCATTGTTATTATCCATACATGATAATTGTGAAGAAAATACAATTTCGTGACAACACATAATATATATATTATTATATCTCTATAAATATGCTTATTTATAAAAAATCTAATATAATAATAAATCTCTCATAAATTTAATACATATTTTATTATGAATATATTTTTTTAATTTTTTATGTCTCCAGTTGGTAACGTCGAACTCTTTAATTATCTCCAAGCCCATTCGATAGTCATGTAAATTTATTTAATAAAGTCGACTCTCTCTAGCATCAGAAGACACGGTAGTGTCTCGGCGCTAATTTTAATAATTTTAATACATATGTGTGTATATTCTGTCCAATTATAAAATTTTATTCCGAATTTTGGCAGAAATGATAAATTGTTTAAAGCGGATTTTATTCTGTATATCTAAATTTAAATCGTTCAACACTTACTTTATAAAAAAATCAAATATCAATTTAATTATAAATAAAGACATGTAAAAATTAAGACATTAAATAGATAAGTGTATGCATTTAAGATAAGTGTATGCCTTCTGATTAGAATGTCAAAATACTAGAAATTGAACATAATTATAAAAAAAAAACTAATCACGAAGATGATTCACATAAAAGAATAAAAAATGGTATCAATTGTATGAAAGATATTAAGTTGTTGGATGGAGCATATTTTGACATACTACAAGAACTTTCACATGTGCCAGCCAATAGCGTTTTCTCTCTCACTAGTTGTAATATTGTAACCAATAACGATCAAGCTTATACAAAATATTGTGAGTCTCTTTATGTAAGTATAATATGATACACTGTCTGAGTGTTATCTTAGTCGATAATCTTTATTATATTCTATTAGTACATTACAGTTGCAATTATCAAGACTTTAATTTATTACTGATTACTATTGTTGAATTCTTTTTTCAAAATTACATGTTACGTAAGTTTAACCAATATTTTATTTTAAAAAAGACAGTTTTTTTCAATAATACGCATTCATAATTCAAAAAATTAATTTAATTTAGAACAATTTTATATCTTGGCTCATATTACAGGACTAGCACACAGAGGACTAACACGATCGATTGTCAAACGGGGATCTAGTTCGAATAATTTGACTGTTATATATTTGTTTTGAACATAGTGTGACAAAAATTATTTCGACTATAATAATCTTGAAGAGAACGGATGATATCTTTTAAAATGTCACCTTATTTTGACATGTTAGATTGTAGAATTTAATATTTTTATTAATTTAATTGTATCATATTTTATTGAGGAAGACTGTAAGTCGAAACGTTTATCGAATTATTTTATATATTAACTATAATTAAATTATTATTATTCTAACATCTTTTTTTGTTCGTTTATTGATCGTTATCAAAAATTTTTATATTGCTTTGCAAATTGTTGAGCGTTATTATACTTGTTTTTTTTATTTATATTTTATTTTACTATATTATTTTTAGATTGAGAGAGAGAAAGAGAGAGAGAGAGAGAGAGAACTCCATGTCATTCCTATGAATGAATAAAAATGCATTCAGGATTGAAAAGGATTCATTTTAACATTCATGAAACCGTATTTCTGAAAATCTGAATCTATTTTAATCTATTTCAATCCATTCTCGTTTGCTATATCGTTAATAATAATAATGTATCGTTTTATTCCTTCTTTATTATTCAGTGAACAATAGAGACAAATAATGCATCATGCGTTTCTTCATGTGTGAACTTGACCCTAAGATGTACCGTTACCAGGGAGATGTAAACAATTCTGTATAAATTATGAATCAATTGGTCTGTTTGCTGTTCTTGCACTAGACTGCACTAGAACTCTCTTTCTCGCTTTTGACAAATATCAAACATATACCTATCTCATTTTAATTTTCAAAAGTGTACATTTGCAGCCGTAGAAAACAAACTTCATTTGTCTTTTTCAGGTGCATTCCATATATCTTTGCATTTGAAATGGAGTATGTTTATATTCGAATAAAGAAAAAAAGGAGAAAACTTGTGAAAAAATTGTGGAAAATATAGTTAAGAAAGGAAAGTGTTCTTAGATAGTGTGTTTAGATACCAGTGTTTTTAGATACAAGAGAAAAGTTATAATAATTTTTCGTAAAAAGTAGCTCTCGAGCGAGATGGCTGTATCCCTGCAAACTCGCGTTTTTTACGGTTTGAGGACAGACATTGCCAACAATGCGCATTACATCACAGATGCGGAAGTTTTATATCCAGTCGGCAATGCACTGGCCATTCACAATATTCTTCAGCGTCAGCAGAAGCTGATTCGATTACCTGAAAGATATTATGACGCAAATGGCATTTGTGTCTCGCCCAACAAGTGAGTAAATTTGATGAAGTATATGACAAGCACATTTGTCCATAAAAAAAAAACAAAATAAAATAAAGAGAAATTCATTCAACCATATGAAACCGAATTAATTGAAGCAAACTTTCATATTTTCAATTTTAATAAAAACCCTGATATATAGAAAACACAATTTATTGACACAATATTGATTTCATGTTAGCTCAATATTGGTTCAATATATCCTTAAGTTTAATAGATCTATTCTTTTTAGCTGAATTTCTTGCACAGTTCATCAATTCTTTTCAATATGAAAAAAAAGGAAAGAGAGAGACGAACTGTACAAGAAATTCTGCTAAAAAGAGTCTAATGTATCGCTAATAAATTGTTATTAGGAAAGAAACATAACAATTTACAAAGATGGAAATATAAAAAGATAATTTCATAAGGTATAAGATGTTTGTGGATACATTTTAATCTTTCTTTATTTTTTTACATACAGATTGTAATTAAATAATCTATAATTTCAGGAAATTTGTTGCTTTATCCGATATAGGAGACAAACCTACCATATCTATTTATGATATCAGCTCTCTGAAGCGTAGGAAGCTGCTTGGGATACCTTATGACGCTCCAGGAGTAACCAGATTTACGTGTATGAGTTTTACTTTCGATAGTAAGAATCTGATAGCAATTACTGGCGAACCCGATCAAACGATGCTCCTTTACAACTGGGAAAAGGGCAAGGTCGAGTCGACATTTAAGCTGATCAATTCACAAAATCCATTGGCGATCGCTGACGTGTTAGCTTGCAATCCAACAGACGCGACAGTGGTAGCAGTCGGTGGTGCTTATACCTTTAAGTTTCTTATCGTTTCTGAGACGGTGTGGCGCCCATTTGGTTTCGCTAAAGCGGAGAACCTCCTTGTCTGTTCGATGGCTTGGCTGGACGGCGACAGACTCATGGTTGGCACCGAGGACGGCCGCATGCTCTACCTGGAGAACGGCGATCTTAAAAACGTGTACAGGATGACTGATACCGTGACGATGAATCTCAAGATTCGCGAGGAGTACGTTATGCCCACCACTGCCAGCTCACAGATAACACTAGCAATCAGTGAGGACATTATGTGGCAACAAAACGTGCGCTGCTTGATCGCATTTCCACGTGGATTTGCCTACGCGTACGGCGGAGGGATCATCATACTTTTTGAAAAAGAAGGGAAACACAAGTATACGAAGAGAAACGTTTACGTGATTCCACAGCGAATGGTGAAGGACGACGACCCGAATCTTTACAAGATCCATACGATCAATGTGAATCCCAGCTTTGACCGATTGATCGTCACCACCGGCTGGTCCCAACTGTATTATGCGACGCTGTGGGGTCGAACTCTGCAGATGGATCCGGAACCACAGGAAATGCAGATCATGGGCCAGCTGTTACACCATGGTCCCATTAGTGACCTCTCCATGTGTGCATGGAAGCCGGTCTTCATGACATGCGGCGAATTTGATCACAGTGTTCGACTGTGGGATTTTGAAACAGAAAGTCTTATTATGCTGAAGCAGTATGATGAAGATATATCCAGCATCGCATTGCATCCGATGGGACTATTCTGTCTAATTGGCTTCACCGACAAATTACGCTTCATGAGCATCCTGATCGACGATCTGCTACCAATGCATGAGATCGCCATCAGAAATTGTAAGATAGTTCGCTTTAGTCACAATGGTCATCTATTCGCCGCGGTCAACGGCAACATCATACAGGTGTACACCACTATTAGTTTCTACAATCCCTTTATCCTCAAGGGACACATTGGCAAGGTGAAGGCGCTTCTCTGGTCGCAGACGGACCTAAAAATACTAAGCATGGGTGCGGAAGGTTCTATATATGAGTGGAACATGACCTCTGGCACGCGAACCAGCGAGTTTATTTTGAAAACCGTCGTTCTACACGACATTGCACTTTCCTCGGACGCGTCGTTCATTTACTGCATCGCACAGGACGATCAGATACGCGAAATCAAGGAGAGTGAGGTATATTGATATCTTTTATTTTTATTTTTAAAATTATGCGATTGCTTTTGGAATTATATCTTTTACTCAATCAGCCAAGTCGAAAATAAATTTTGTCAAATGCTCGCTATACATTTTGTGAATAAAAAAACGTTAAATTTGATGCAAATTCTGTTATATTCAATGATTCAGCAAATTGATGGCAAATATACAACAAAATCTGCTGACGTAATATAAGAACGAATTATCGACCGGCAAAAACAAGTTTGCTAAATTGTAAGAATCGATCAAAACTTCCTCAGTCTTTGTCGACAATTTGATTTTACATTGTGTTAGTAAGCCTTGGCCGCAAAACACAAGCTTAATGCGAATATAATTGATATCAATTTGCTAATATTTTTTATCAAATTTGCATCAATTTGTAAGCAAATTGCTAACATTTTGCTGACTGGAATATATTCTTATCAGATAGTACGAGAGTTTCGATTGCCTGGCAAAGAAATGCAACAAATTATCATGGGGAAAGATGACCTAATGTTATTCATAACTTCTCCCAGTGGTATCATCATTTCGTTGAAAAGTCCGCTTCAAACTCCAATAGAATCAATGGATTTCCACATACACTGCGTCGATATTACGAGGGTATCTTTCTCTTAATACAGTGAGAATAAATGAAGATATAAATTGTTCTCCTAAATCATTCTATTTCCTTCTTTCTTAGATCGCATTTTCTTACAATGAAAATTATTTGATCTCAGTTGCAAAGGACGGTAGTTTATGCATTTGGAAGTTATACTTTCCCGAAGGGAAAATCATAAAGATGAGAGATTTGCCGTACACGAACGAAGTATTAATCGGTAAAGGTGACTTAGAGGAAAAGATACATAGCATCAAAAATCTGACAGTGAGACTAAGAGAATTGGAAATGGAACACGCATATAAACTGCGGCAAATTGATATTCAGCACAATGATAAATTACGTGAGGTGCACCAAGGCTATAGCGAAGCTATCAAGGAACTTGTAGACAAAATAGATAAGGATCGGGAGGATCACAGAAATGAGGTGAATAATATGAACGTGAATATCATGAGGATGAAAGCGTCGCATGAGGACGCAATGCAACAAATGGAAAATGATTATGAGGCCAAGTTGATTACGGAATATGACAAGTATCAGGCATTTGAAGAACGTACCAATGCTATGCGAGAGAACTACGAGAAGCAATTAAAAGATCTTGAGAAACGCGACGCGGAACGATTACAAAAAACCGTGACGGAATATGAAGCTTTGCTTCACGAGAAGAAAATACAACTGGAAGAAACATTTGACGAAATGAGGCATAAGGAGCGCGTTCATGAACGTTTGATGGCACAAGTAGAGGATGACGCGGATCGTGAGATTCTCGAGATACGTACGAAATACGAAAACCTCCTATACGAGGAGAAGCAGATCAGTTTGAAACTGAAGGGAGAGGCCGGAGTAATGCGAAACAAATTATTGGCCAGTCAGAGAGACGTTGATGATCTAAAAAGGCAAGTAAATCGGGTGCAAAGCGAATATGCACAGTTTTACAAAAATATACAAGATCTTGAGAAGCAAATAGTAGATCTAAAGAAGGAAATCATCGAGAGGGACGCTACTATTCGGAATAAAGAGCAACAGATATATGATATAAAGCGAACGAATCAGGAATTGGAGAAATTCAAGTTTGTGTTGAATTTTAAGATTGATGAGTTGAGGAGTCAGATACAACCGAGAGATCAGGAGATACAGGAGCTGAAGGATAGTATTCGAAACATGGAGGAAGAGCTCATGAGTCTCCAAAAGACAAATGAAAAATTGGAGCTGCAACTACACGAAGAGAGGGAGAAATTGCGGATCACACGCCGAGAAATCGACCGCGAAATCCATAAGAACAAGAGGTGTCAGCAGCTGTTACGAAAAATTCGCATCGACATTCTTGAACTCTCGGAACTCATACAAGAACCGAACGCTCTAAAAACCGCAGTGACCAATTTATATCACAAATATAGCGCGGATGATGAAATCCTACGTAGTCGCAAAGCGGACATAGATGCGCAATACGAATTCAATAGGCAAAAGGATCAACTGGAAAAAACTATCGCGTCTCTGAAGAAGCAGATGTTCCAGGATACGTATACCGGTGACAAAGAATTGAGGATGATAGAGGAAAACAGTATGCTTATTGTGGAATTGAATGCATTGAGGGAAGAGTTGAAGCAAGCACAAGAACAGGTTTTTTATATGGAGAATCTGCTGGGATTACCACAAAAAGACGTGCGATCTACAGAAGCGAGAAAAATCTTGAAACAAGCATTTCACGGATACCAGGAGTTGCAGGAGAAATATATGAAGCAAATACAAGAATATCAGCAGGTTATTTCAAATCTAAAGAAAGATATCAAGCAATTGTTGAGCAAGATTCCTTGTGAAGAAAAGGAAGAAAAAAAGATATCATTTTGAACAAGTTTGTGACATTTAATCATTTTTTCAGGAACTTAAATATTGTAAAGTTTTTAATGATAAATTAATGTTTTAGCATATTTTTCATAATTAAAAATAATTATATATATAATAATTATATATATGTTTCTTTTATATTGTAATTATATACGTATATATATTTGTTCAAAGAAATAAGAGCGCTGTATATCACTCCACGTTTGTAACATATATTATTTCATAAAACAGAAATGAACCTCCCCCTAAGACTTGTATAAAAATAAAAAATTGGAATTAAAATGCTTATATATCTTTTGTTGTTTTTTACAGACTTCACTTTTTACTAGAAAGTGACACTATTATTGATTACATGTTCGTCATAATTACTAAGCTTAATATTCCTTAAAAACAAAAAAACAAAAAAAGTAACAAAGTAAAATCAACATTGTATCATGAATACCGATATTTTGTAAATAAATGCCTTGATTTAAAGAATGAACGGAATGATGGCTTTGCGGTTTTTCGGATAATGCGAGAATTCTTTCTTGTACGCCTTGTGCTTGCCCAGTGCCCACACGGTCATTTGATATGCACCGGCAAGCGTGAACAGACCAGCTGAAAATTAAAACATAAGACTCGTATAACCGTTTCATTTATGTTCGATGTTAAAGATCAAATAATCACATAAAATTTCAGCTATAAGCATACCTGGAAGACATGACGTCATTACAGTAAAACCGATCCAACTGCCTATCTCATACGTATAATTAGGACAGGAGACAAGTAAGAAGAGTGCGGTAAAAGGATTCTTAGTCGGCATTGGGACTTTCCTGACCGTAGTGCCTGGTGGTCTCAAATTCCTCAGAGCTAAGTGGATACTGAGATTGCCCAACTCGCACAGCACAAATATTATCGAACCAATGTGGAATTGGAATTTGGAAGGAGCTGTATATAATGGATGGTTTGTATGATACGCTACATACATAGCAAAAAGCCAATAGTAAGAGCAATTTTTGAATAGGTTATGCAACGGCATTGTTGCATGACTAAAACGGTGAACAAATATAGTCTCTAAGAGACGCTTAACGTAATGTATCGACCAGGCACCTGCTGCACACCTGAAAAAGAAAAAAATTGCTTATATATAATAAGTACAACAAAAGAAATGCTTATATAAAATATATATTATATATGAATATAGATTATAATTTTAATAAAATGTTACATAATTACAGTGACTTACTTAGCTATATAGTGAAAATTACTGGTATTCACGTTTCCATAAAACAGCCAGGGACGTTGATACAACCAAAGATACACCACCAGAGGCCCTGCATACTCCAACAGGAATACAGTCTTCCAACCGATCTGAGGACCGAGATCCTTATAATATAACTTTCCACCCGTTTTCAGCGACAAGGATTTAATTGTCTCTGAGTCTGACAATGATTTTCCCTTAGCATCCAATCTCAGACTCTGTCTATTGACGTTTGCTGCCTTTTTTAATTTATATAACTCCTGTTTCACTTCGCCTATCGTAGTGTTCGCATTTACCTGCAATAAAGATACAAGTCATGTAAATAAAGTCATAGATTTTTTTCGAAAAACAATCGATCGAATTTCGAATTATCATATTCCATTCAAATTTCACTTAATTATCCGATTTTACAGTTATTGCGCTTTACTTACATTCACGTTAGCTATCACCTTCGATGATTTCGTCGACAGTATTTCGATCTGAAAGTAGAAAACATGATAAGTGCAGTTGTCGAACTCACGAATCCTTCGCGTAATGACGATTTCAGGAATTTTTACCTCCATTTTCGTCGATGCAGACAACTCTCACGCGTAAAGAACACTGTCCTTTTATATGGCGGTCGGACTTCTTTTACAGTCTCACTAGTCACCGCCGTTGCTCCGGTCAGCTCCGATTGTTCGGTTTTCGTCGTCTGGAGAGTAACTTCTTGCGGTTAGCGCCGCATGGCGTCGTATCGCAGTCACGTGATTCCGCGCGGCCTATTTCTTTTCGATGACATTCCGTTTGTTCCTTTCCAAAAATCCGATAAGTGAGTCGCGGCGATAACCCGCGTGTCGTCGAGGAAAGTAAAATTAATAATTTTGGTAATCAAATTATCACCAGCTTATATAACAAATGCAATTATTGCCGATGATGATCCGGATCGCGCATGCAAAAGTGAATTGATTGATCCACAATTATGAGTACAAAATTTGCATATGTATGTGCACGTATTGCGTATGCATAATTTTATTACGGAATGACGCGACAATTCCATGTAATTACATACATAAAGAAAAAAAATAAAAAGAACGCGGATGAATATTCTGTTTAAACATTATTTTATCTTCCTTCTGTTTGTCCATGCTGCGCATGGAGTGATCACGCACGCTTAACGCATGATTTATGATAATTATGTATTACAATATATTTACATATAGCGTGTTATTACTAATACATTGTATACATGCATAATAGCACTTATCGATTTACGTCATAAGGTAAACGTCCCAGTGACCGGACACATTTTACAAAATTTATTATTATTAACCTAAAATATTTTTTTTTATTACAACATTCTAACTTAATTGTATTCAAAGATTAAATTACAATATTATATTTAAAAAAGTATTTGAGATTAATAATAATGTAAGAAAATATAATTAAAGTTTCATTTGTGCATATGTGTTTAATTACGATGTTTCATCATGGAAATAATTATTGCATAAAACTGAAAATTCCAAGTCATCTAATTAATTTACTTAATTCATACACGGAGGTAGACCTTTGAACCACCTTATGAACACGGTTTCTATACTAGGAAAAAAAGAACACTTGTTAAAAAAAGATCCACTTTTGAGAAATGTAGAAAACAGCGAATTTTCTACCTACTGAATGCGAAGGTGCTATTAGTTCTTATTGAAAATGTGAGGCATGTCATTTTTCAGGTTAAAGTCCTCATTGTTATCAAAAACAAGACTTTAATCTGAAAAAACGCAGTATCATCGTGCATAAATGAATATTAAAATTAATGTTATTAACATTAATAGGCAAATTTATGTACTTTAATATAAACTGCAGTTAAATTTATGATAATAGACTAATAATATTTTATTGTCAAAGATTATTGAATAGGCTATTTTTTTTAGCGTGCTGTTTAATTAAGAAATAATTTCAAAAGATTACGCATATATTGTGCGTCGAAGAATACAAAAACGCGACAAAAAATGTATACACATATAATAATGGTTATTCTACAATGTGCTTTTTGTTTCCTGTTTCTATCTTTTTGCTTTTTTTTACATCTTGTTTTTTTGCTTCTTATCCGATTGTTTTTGTTTTATGTCGTCTAAGATAAAAGTTAACGAACTTTGGAAGAAACAGGAAACACATAGCAAGAAATAGAATTGTCGATAAAACGATTGTAAAGAGAGAAGAAGCAAGAAGCAAAAAGAAATAGGAAACAAAGAGCACATTGTAGAATCGGCTTAAAAATGTATTTTGTTAGAAACAATATTTATTTTTAAAATTTCACAGTCGATAAAGTTAACTTTACCGACAAATGACAATAGATCATTTTATTGTATTTATAATATTTTATTAATTGCGTGTGGCTGCTCCACTAGTTTCTCGAGATCTCTCATAGATAGCGCATCGTGTCACATTATACAAAAACGCACCGATTTTGCAAAATGTATTTTTAAAATCTTTATAATTTCCGAAATATACTAATTAAGTTATATATTAGAAACTAAATTAAATATAGAATGGAATACTCAATTTTTTTACAGTTCATTTATAAAAAATAATTGAAAATAGAAAAGGAAAATTGAAATGCGTGCGGATATAAAATAAAGAGTTAAATTGACGAAAATCTCGATTATTTTGAAAACATTCAGATATCATTTTACATGCAAATTGTTATTTAAAAAAAATTCTTATTAATTATATATATAAATAATATATAATACAAATCTCTGGTAATAAAATTAACATGAGCAAAATAATATTCAAAAAATAGTGATATCGTTACAGATACGCGCAGACCATAATATAATAAATATTAGCGGGATCTGTAGAGTTCTCAATCGATCTCGCCGTTAACGTCACGTCGTGAAATAAATAATGCGGCCCAAAGTCACCACGATGGCTTCCTTTAAATTACTCCTGTGGCTTTTCTGTATTGACCGAAATGTTCTAGATACTGTTGTATCGTGTCCATCGGCTGATAAATTTCGTTCATTCGATTCTACAAAATTTATTTAAAAAAAAAAACTTAATTACATATCGAGACTTTTTCAGTAAAATTACTTAAAAGTTTTATTCTCAATACATGAAAAAAACGCTTTTATTGAAATATCTAAAAATTTAATTAGATATAGATCTGAAAGTAATTTTGTTAGACCAAAATAATTATATACTCTCTAAAATTTTTTGAGTGAATTCCGAAGAGTGAAATGTCAATCTTAAAGATTGAAAATGCAGTTAGTTTTTTTCAAAATTGTCTCAATTTTCACTCTTTAAAGTGAGATTCCATTCTTTAGAGTGAGATTCTAAAGAATTTAGAGAGTAGGAATCTCAAGCATGATAAGCAACGCTGCAATAAATTTTGACATTCTAGCAACCAATTTGTGCGTCCTATGAACATAATTATTTTCAAGTCTAATTTTTATATTTATTAAACAAACAAAGCCATTCTTTTCATGCACGAAGACGCATTTTTCTAATACTAAATATTTACCTGTAAATATTGAGGAGCTTGATTAGACACGGTTGAACCCAAGAATCCCTGCAGAAATTCACGAATGAGTTCCCACGCGCTCGCTGGCACGACGCAGGGTCTATACTCGACCTGGGGATCCACAAATGAAAAAAATGTATATATCACAGGATTATACCTAGTCGAGTACCATCAGATCGTGATGTATGTCAAATCAACACACGACATCGTTAGTACTTATCGAGAAACGACGACAGTGTTTGCGCGACTCATAATCAGTCGCGAGCGCGGCCGCGGCTGGATTTTACGATCTGAAGACGAAATGTCCGCGATATGGACCTCGTATGTCTCTCACGTAATCCGGCTTACGATGTGTATGTGTGCGTTGATGATGTCGCGAAGGAATCGTGGGAGGAAACAGAATGTATAATCAGGGGCTCGCGTGACGAACTTCGATGGGCAGCGATGGAAAACGAACGGACGCTTATGATAATCCGCTTGAAACCATCGTATGGAATATCCATAAGTAAGCATACTGAGAGAAATGTTTTGTATAATATGTGACTCACACAAAAACTTTCTTACTTTTTAATTAAAAAATTTTCTTGTCCTCTCAAATAAAAATTTAGAATAATCAAATTTATAACAACAAAATGTTTAATTCATAAAGACTTTATTATTTTTTAATTTAAAAATTTTGATCAAAATAAAATTTTTTAATTAACAAGTAAGAAAGTTTTTGTAAGTTACATAAAAATAATCATACAAAAAAATTTCTCTCAATGCATAAATAAGAGACTCAGTCTCCGTTGTGTGTCGTCTTCGAATAAACAGTTTGCAGCGTGACGCGGAGTCCTCTTTGGAAGAAAAGTCAATCTCTAAAAATGTCAAAAATTCGGTTTCGCACGTCGTTGGATACTATCGGCCATTCGGAAAACTTGACGAGAATCTGGATATGTCCGGATTGAACGGGGATATATACGGCAATATTGATGTGGGGATGTCGGTTTCTCATCCTATTTTCAATTCTCTCTCCATTTCTCTCTTTCCATTCCGCAAGCCTTACAGCTTCGGCTATGTTAAGGAAGCTCGGCTAAAAGTTAATATCGCTGGAAATTGGTACTTCGGTCGAGCAACTCGATAAACGCGGAACGAAGTTGGAAAAATGGGAAACGCGAAGATTCACCGAAAGATAGAAAGAGAGTGGCGGCAACTGTTATTCTTCGACTTATAAAAATTTGCTCAATAATTTTAAATCTAAAATCCAATTTCACGAATTTGTCCGGACGATAAACTTTTCGCGCGACCGTTATTCTTCATAAACATTTTTTGTAGAACAAACGTGTTATTGATCTATAATACAAGATAGTAAACGTGGAGAATATTTACACGATTGGCTGCGCAAGACTTTTCAGAAATAAATTAATAATAAAATAAAGGTATAATACATATACGTTTAATTTCTTTTACTTTAATTACGTCACAGCTGATTCATTTATCAGATGAAGTTTCTCAGGTGAAACTTGGAATTCCCGAGATTATTCTGGACCCAGGGACGCCAATTAAACGAAAATCTGCGGAATTCGCCAGCAACTCGACCATGCATGGCCGCATAGCGATTCGAAATCACGGACGAGATGACATTATTCCGGACCGAGCCACCACATTCAACGGCAGCAGGGTAAATTTCGATTCAAACGATAAATCGCGATTGCGAATCCGAGAAAGCGCAAATCGAATCGGGAATGCGTTTGTTACGCGAGTTACGCAACCCAGTTCGCTCCGCGTACTAAAAAACGGCGAGTTGAAAAATTTGTGTTAAATTTAACATTTCCACGTGTTCCAAACGATCCACTCAAATTTTTGCCTTAATTTTATACACGAATATATTAGAAAGTAACATAAATATTACGTAAAAATATTAATACAAATGTAACAAAAAATGAAATACAATTTGTACTGGAAAAAAATTGCTAAATCTTAAATTACAAACTTCTTTAAATAGTACTAAGGAAATGTTTACTTTTTATTGAATAAATATTTATTTACTTACAGTAAAAAAAATGATAGTTAAATTAAATTAACGATTTTTGTATCAAATAAATATATGTTTACATTCAGTAAATAGTTATTTAGAACTACTTAAACAAATACTTATTAAAGTTTAATATTTTTTTCAGTGTAAACAAATTGTGGAAGCATATTTTTTGAATAAAATTAATATTTATAATATGTTAAATTAACAAAAATTTTATTCATTTTTATCTCAGAATTTACGTATTAAAACATTATTTTTATATTATTTGTTCACTTACTTATAAATTGTGTTATTTTTTAAAAAAAATTTATGAATATCAATTTAACACAAAAAATTTAAATAACATAATCACATTATGTTAAATTAACGATCAAATATGTTAAAAATTCAACACAAAATTTTAAGTGGATCAATTTCAATATAAATACAAAATGTTTTTTAATGTGAATAAAAAGTTTTTTTTCTGGGTCATGAGTGTTTGCGATGTATGTTCAATGTGTTGATAAGTGATTGCAGTCAAGTGCGGGAGTCGCAGCGGCGAATAAGAGGGCGGAAGGAAGGAAGCGTTCGCCGTTGCTGGTGCAGGAAGCCGTCCGGGAGAAAAGTGTTCGTTCGAGGGTCGACGAGGGAGGTAGAGCGAGGGAGCGAAGATTTAACACGAGTCTCTCTCTCTCTCTCTCTCTCTCGCGCGCGCGCACGGGGGAGTTTCACCATTGAAATTAATGGGGGGAGTCGGGGGTTATCGTGACGTATTTGACGTCGTGGTCGCTGTACAAACGGCGCAGTTACCGATACGAATGGCTGCTGCTGGAGCATTTAAAGCCGGTGTCGCACTGGGTGTGTGTACAGGGTACACACGCGAACGTGCAATGTACGTGTCGCTGTACAGCCAGATGAATCTGTCGAAGGGGAAAGGGCGGCTGCGGAAGATATACAGGAAGCATCGTCGAGGTAACGCTGCGAAGTCTGGGTGAAGATCGTCGATGCGAAAAAAGGGAAGGAAACAACTCGACGAGATTTCTTTCATGATTCTTGAGAGTAGGGCTTGGAAGTGCTGTCCGCGCATTGTCCGTGTTGCGCCTACTTCTTGGGGTGAAGAAATGCAATCCGCAGAAATATTTATTCGACTACTTATACACTGAAAACAAATTTACTAAATCTTAATAATATATATATTTCTTTGAATAGTATTATGTCTAGTATTAAGTAACCGTTTATTTACAGTAAATAAATATTAATTCAATAAAAAAAAAAAATAGTTAAATCAAATTAATAATTTTTGTATTAAATAAATATGTTTACATTTAGTATATATTTATTTAGAAAAAATATCAAATTTTAATAAATATTAATTCATATTTATTAAAATTTCATATTTTTTTCAACATGTTCAACTTACGCGATTTATGCGAGGAAGTTAACGTATTAAGCTATTTAGACGAGTAAAACTCCGTTCGATCTCGCGAATTAATAATTCGTAAGCCGATTAAGTTGTTAGATAACGGGTATTAATGGGCAAAGCAAATACAAAAACGATTTAATTTCAGAGCATACGCCGTATTAGCGAGATTGTAATTCCGTGTTAAACGTACATAGGTGCTCGACAAGCCTCGGGGTATCGGCAAAGCGAATACAATTCGTAATGACGTTCCGTATCGGTATGCGCGTATGTATCTTGCATGTTTACAGATATCTACGCGACAAGTGCATCCGAGTGGCATCCGATAACTCGCTTTTGTGTGTGTACGTGAGATACGTTGCACGCTGATGCGAAATCTTCCCACATGTCTTCAATTCGCATAAAAACGATCTTTGATCCGACATTACTATATAATCCAATCCCACTCGTTAATTACGAAGCATTATTAGTTCATCTTATTATTACTTCATCATATTAATTATTAAAAACAAGAAAAAGCTTTAATGACAATTAGTTTTCAAATTTATTTTTATCTACTACACAAAAAGAACAATTTTGTTGAAATATCTATCAATTTAATCGTTAGATATAGAAAGAAAAAATAAAAAATTATTTATGTTGAAATAAGAATTTGTAAAAATTTATAAAAATGACTAAAAATAATTCGCTTTTTAATTCCTTCTCTCTCTAAAAAGGTTTTTTTTAAAATTTTTAAAGACTGATAATTTTTTCCTATGATTTCTTCCTACTTCCTTTCGTCTACTTCCTTTACTATTAGGTGTTGGAATTAATTCGTAGCGTTTTACAAGTGATGGAAAGTACTTTCATTAATGTATTTTTTAATGCTCATGTGAAATAAATAACATTCTTTCATTAAAAACGCTACGAATTAATTCCAACACCTAATATATAAGAGAGTACTCATACAGTCAAACAGGATTGATGTAACATCAATAGGACGATTTATCGTTAGCATCCGGACTTAATTACTCGATTATTCCTCTGTTCTCTTGATCAGCAGTGATACGTCGATGGCATGAAATATCTCGGGCGTGCCGAGTTTGACACGCGAGACACGTATTCGCCATGCGGCGCGATGAGGAATCAAAGGGTGCGTGGTGTCCATGTTTCGCTTCTAAAATATACCTATTGTATAACTGGCTATGTACATACACGATTTACGCGGGTGGAGCTCTCGTGACCGAGTTATCAATCGATAATGCACGCTCGTCGCATGAATGACAGAGAAGACAACGGAAGCAGCAGGGGACTCGTCTCAAAATGTCTCTCCCCAAAGAATTTGTTACGGATTCGGGGGATCAGAAAATCGACGTTGTTCACTTCCGGATTTGAATGACACAGAGAACAACCTATCTTCGTTTTCCGAACGATCAAAGGGGGAAAGCAAAATGACAATCGTGAGCGAAAAGCGATATTCCGAATGAGCTTTCTATGTGAAGATAAAACAGATTTTAGCGTGAGGGAATTTTTATGAGAGAATCAAGGCCGAATTAAAAATACCGAAAACGACGATCCGTCAGAGAATCGAAATGAAAAATATATCACTTTAAAAAGCTGGAGGATCAAAAGAGGACAGTTGGACTGATAATTTTTCAATGTCATTTTTAGAGAGTTTCTTTTCATTTTGAAAAGAAATACGGAGTATCACTTACTTCTACCAAGACGCCTTTGAAATTCTGGCTCATCGTCACGCTGCCCAATTTGACGCAGAAGTCGCCGATCTCGAATCGCGGTCCTTTGGATTCGATCTTCGTTTGCTTCTTACTGGTGTAGATAGTCGTCATTTTCATCATCAGCAGATCGAACAAGCCGTCCGCTATCAGTGGCACTACTTTGCTGCCCGACTCGAGGAGAGCGAACACCGAGGCTGGCTGCTCCGAATTGTGCAGCACATGCACGGTCCTTTGAACGCCTGCAAAGTGCAAACGAGCATCGTGTTTAAGTACAAATTTTGTTACATTGTTCATCAACTATATGTTAAACTGTACAAGGAGTAACAAGAAATAATAAGCATCGGATTCGAATAAAAGTGACCCTTTATTACCGTTAATGTATTGCTAGAATTTATCTTCATTTAATGTCACCAAATAGAGATAAACAAATCAAGATTTTTTTTACGCCGAATCAAATCGAATTTTATTTTTTTCTTTAGCCATTAAGAAAGTAAGAAATAAGGAAATGATAATAAGATCTGGTTAACTTGTGGATTAGACTTAACGTCACTTAACTTAATGATAAAGTGTAAAATTTGTGTTTTTCTAGCTACGATTAATCACTAAACTGGTTTCGTAGTAATTTAATGAGATAAGTAACTTTACAAGTTACTTACTATAAAACCATCAGTTTAGTAATTAATCGTAGCAAAAAAATTAAGTTTGATCAAAAGTTAACCAGCACATGAGCGTCCAGAGGAAGGGGGAGAGGGAGCTTTGCCGCTCCCCATGATCGACGCGTGTTGAATACAAACGCGTTTTAGAGTGATTAGTAGCAAAGTGATAAACAAATTTAAGCAGAACGAGAGAAAATTAGAGAAAATTCTCGTTTGAGGAAAGTGAAAAAATGAAAAAAATTAATAAGGAATAAAAAACCTACTACAAAATAAAAATGACAAAAAAATTTTTAAATATAAAAATACAAAAAAAAACCCAAACAAACGAAATACCTTCCTCAACGTACACTTACCGTGTTATGATGAGGAAGCTTTTAACTAAAAAGTGTATACATTAGTGATGGTGTACAATAAATGACGAAAAAAAAGGTCAGTCATTAACTCGATACTGTAGGGATTGTAGGGTCACCACGGAAAGAAATATTTGAATAGACTGCCCCCCCCTCCCTTGCTAGAAAAAAATCCTGCGGATCTTTCGACCATAGTAAAAAAGAGTGACGACATTATTGTCCGCAAGATTTTTTTCTAAGGGGAGGAGTCTTGCTACACATAAGGAAAAAATGTTCATAGTCCTACTGGAAATAAAAAACTAGAAGGTAGAACTAAGGAAGGTGAGTGAGAAATGTTTAACAATTAACAAACAAGAAAATATGTAGATTTTTAAAAATGTATTAATCTTAACTTACTATTTTAATTTTTAACTAAATATGATTAAAAATATGTTCTGGTATGAGAATATATTTCTATCATCACACACAAGTTTACGATTTATTAATCATTATTAATGTAAGTAATTATATTTTAAATTATATATTAAATTCTAATTTAAAGAGTGAGCAAGAATGAGCAAGAGTGAGGTCTTTGCGTGCATTACGTCTTCAACGACGGAAGCCCCATGTGCGCATATATTACGATCGCGAGGTAAAGTCAGGTGCAGCTTAAACTTCAACCCCCGTCGTTGAAGTTACATCTAGTCGGCTTCTCCGGGATCTCAATATTGCGCGAGTAATAATAATCCTGCTTAATAACTAGGCCGACAGTCAATTCCGCGATTCGTCGCAGATTGCAGCGAGTGAACTATTAGCAGCCAAGATAAGCTCGTAACGAGATTAGAAAAAAAAGAGGAAATGCATCACTGGAATGGTTATACCATTACACGTCCATTGTTCATCCGTAAAGCAGAAACATGCGACGAGTTTAAATTTACGACGTGTGAAACTCTTCTGAATATTCATAATTCGTCCACTACCACCTCGCTCAGCTACGTGCTTCGTCCACGTAATGGCAGGGTACGGGTGTAGGCCCTAACGTATGAATAATTTATCTGTTAAATTATAACGCGCCCTTTTAGCGCAACACGTCCGAATGACACGATTTTTTATCCTGCGAGGCGAACGACCGCGGACAGTTTTATGCGCTCTAATTTCGGGTTGCCGGTCAATGTATTTATCGTTGCGGTGATATTCGATCTAACGCCCTCCGGGATGCTCGGATATCATTTCTACCTATCTATAACGTCAAAATCCAACGTCATTAAAATCAGGTATAGATATGGAACAATAAAGTATCAAATAAATACAAATAATTCTACTAATGAACAACAACGCTGCTATATAGTTGGCATATTTCTGACATTTTGTAAAATTGTTATCGGAAACTCGGAACCGGGACTGTGCCGGTCAGATATCATTTCCACCTGGTACTACATCCGCGTCCATGTAACGCAAATAATTCGGCTGGCACAGGCGAAATGTAATTCGTGCTCGTACTCTAAGCAGCTTTACGCGCGTTCTAATACATACGCGGCTTTTGCAAAACGATGAACGTGTATATCTCATTCGCGCTCGAACGACCACAGATTAACGAACGACCGGATTGCTCTTACTCTCTCTCTCCATCGTCGGATCGTCCTCCTTCTCCTCCTTACCCTCTCGCTGCAATTTGCACCAACGATCATACGGTACTATGACGCGCCGCATGCCGCATACCGCATCGTCTACATCGCACGTTATGCGACGCCGTTACGCGAACGCACCGCAGGAGCCGCAAACGCAGATCCCGTCGTCATCTGCGATCGCAAAAAGGGGAGAGGAAAGACGAATAAGATATCTCTTCCACTTAGAGATTCTTAATAAGGAAACGTGCTATCCTGCAGAAGTGATGTCAAAAAAGACTTAACGTTGTACCGGATTATATCAGGTTTGAAATAAGTATTCTGGATAGTCAAATCTTGGGTACAAAATCCTTTGGATTTTGTACTCAAACATGGGATCGGAAAATGTTTGACCATTTCAACTTATAACTGTTGGATATCTCGAGAACAGTACAGTTTGAAAAAAAAAAAAAGTTTTAAATAAGGGTTATAGGATTTGAAGAGGATTATGAAATGAGCTATTTAGATTTTAAATCTAGGAACTTATTGGTCCACTGTGCGAGTTAATAAATCCCTGGACTCAAAATCTAAGAGTAACTCATTTAGATTCATAGGAGAGATTTGACAATCTAGAACACCTATTTCTTTCAACTGGTAGCGTTAGTTTTCTGATATTACTTTTGTAACGTAGCACGTTTCCTTGTAAGTCAGATCGATCCTTCTTCTCTCCACGGAACATCGGCTATAGTTCTTGAATGATTAACGGTTGAGAATAATGGGCTTCCGACAAATTGAGGATCGAGGAAAAGAGAAAGAGCACGGATGGTAAGATCTTCGGTTAATTTCAGATGGATTTTACTTGGATGGAATTTTAACGTGGAGCTCGTACAATGGCGAAAATATATTACATAATTAGGAGTAACAAATGGTAATGTCTTTTCGAGACCGAGAAAATTGTTGACCAGAGAAGTTGCTGTAGAAGCTGATTTTGTGTATCATATTTTGTTTATATGTCAAACTGCAAACTGATTTCTCTCTTCCCTTCATGTTTTTGACGAGCTACTCGATTTAAAATTATTGCTAAAATTCCATTATCCGTCTCTGCACGTGCATTCATTAATATGAAAATACGTTCGAACATAATGCGATCACGCATCATCGTCAAACGCATTACTTTGATTTCGCCAGTCATGCGACGCGTGTCAATTATCAGGAAATAATACCGAGAACAGGTAATGTTCGTTTATTATAGCTATAGCATTTATCAATCGGCCGAAATGCAGTATTTTGCTAATTCGTTTGATAAGAGGCGAAAATTAACGCTGACAAAATTTTCGCATTCATCGAGTTGTATCCATCTTAATGCAAACATTTTTAATTATATACGGACATACATAAAATATAGATTGTATTTAAATATTAATTACTTTTTTGGAGTATTTCAAAAACTCATACATCCGCAAATCTATTATAAGTTCATCACAAGCGTCAAATTCATTCAAAATATATTCTGAATTCTAGTGAATTTCATATTTTAATCAAGATTATTAAATTCAAATAAATTCAATTTGCTTATTATATGTACAAAATCTTTTTCCATAAAATGTTAAAATATTTTTCAAAAGAGAATAAATTCTTATTTAAAAAAAATAATAATTTTTCAAAGATTGCTGTAAGTACATTTTTAAGACTTTATCAAGAAAATATTTTTATTAAAAATCTTATTTTTAAAGTTGTTTTTGACAAAGAATATTTTCTTAATAATACTTAAAAGAAAAGGTTATTTAAACTAAAAGTATATTGAGTACTTCATCATTTCTCTTAGCAGTAAAATAATATTTTTCTATCTATATATAATATGCAATAAAAAAACATTCAAGCGTATATCTACACAAAACGCAAATGTAAAAATATAAGATCGTCTTAATGCAAAACAGATATATTAATCGTATAGACTCAGCCAACTAATTATCCCGTCATGTACTCTTTCTTTCGCTTACATCGATGTTTTCCTCAACGAGAAAGCGATAAAATGTCATTCGCTCATAAACGTAATTTTTAAGAATCTCACATCGCGTCAGATCGCGTTTCCCTTATCTTTCTCTCATCGACGCGTGTCCGCGGTAATTAATTACTCTTATTGAGTCGCTCATGCTCCAGGTTGCACCTGCTTTGTCGCTCGACGACCGCCGAGCCGCTGATCCAATTTCAAGCATCGAGCGCCTTGCCGGAATCGCCGCCGCTCACGAGGGGGAGAGAGATGTTATTGATGAAGCATTACTATATAAAGCGCCGCATTATTCGTGCGATAAATCAAATGTAATTTCGGACGCGTCGCAAAATATACGTCGGACGGGTTGTACGCCGTACAATGCCTCCGGAGAGCCTTATAATTAAAACAAGAGCGCGGAGAATTTGTGGTTAGAAGAGGAGATGAATTTCGCAATTATTCAGCTTCCGGTTCGTGCATCAAGAATATTTCAAAATGCATCAGTCAGCGATAGAACGAATGATTCCCGACATACAAATCGCGAAGTCAAATTTTTATATCTATACCTATGGAAATATTAAATTTTTAATTATTAGATGGAATTGCTCAAGAATTTATGCGTATTTTTAAGGGGAGTTTAAAAATAAATTCAAGAATTTATGCATATTATTTAAGAGAAATTTAGAGATAAACAAGATAAAACACATTTATTTAGTTTATTAACATTCCTTATTTAATGATTCTCTCTAATATATAATACACAAATTTTCAAAGAGCGTGACTGTTTGTCGGTAAATTCTCCGGAGATAGAATACGGTAAATACTCGCGTAATAAATTTGTTAATTAATACGACGTAAAATATTTAATGTTAAATATGAACGTGGCGTTACATTTCACAACAGGTGTCTTTATCATGTTCAATTAATATATTTAAGTTATAGCGCGACTAATGGTTAATCGATATTTGAAAAAGCGTTCAATTTAACTTAATGTGATATTATAGAAATTGGACGAGTGCATTGAAAAAAAAATCTCAATATATTTTTTTTGAATAGTAAATAAATGTTTACTTACAATAATTAAATATTTATTTTATTAAAAAATGATAGTTAAATTAATACTTTTGTATCAAATAAATATATATTTAATATTTATATGTAAAATTTATAATTAATATTTATATTTAGTAAATATTTACCTAGAACCATTTAAACAAATATTTAATAAAATTTAGTATTTTTTTCAGTGTGGGACGGATCGATGGGGATCGTTTTCTTCCCTCTCCTTTCGATTCTGCCGTCGGGGAGATTCGCCAAGAGGGGAGATTCGCGATCGCTTTATTAAAAGTTTCAGCTGCTACCCAGCGGTCTGTGCAACGGACGATCCACCACCCAGTGAAAGTTCATGAAGTCACTTTGTACATCAGCGAGCGAAAAACGATAGAGAAATCGCATTTGACGCCGCCGGAGATGCTCGCGAATCTTGATGCGTCCACATCTTACACGCGATATTATTAATAGACCAAGGTGAAACCTTGCTGATAATCACAGATTTATCTTGTCGGGTTTGTTAGTCGGAATGTATCAAGATATCTGTGAATGAATGTCTAAGTCGTACGAATCGAAAACGTTCGAATCGAAGCGTGACATCGTTACGTGAGAGCGCAATTCTCTCTTGCAGAGACGAGAAACAATGACGTGTGCAAAGCAGTTTGTCGCAATATCATAACAAATTGATGTTCAAATGTTCGGGCGGGTCAGTCGAATTGGCAGGCGCGAGGACGAGATTTCTCGATTAGTTTCGACTACGCGGGGATTCCTTCAATGACGAGAATTTCGACCGTGATGCGGTAGGGTTGGATCGATAAAGAAAGAGAGAGAGAGAGAGAGAGAGTCGGTCGCGAGTCCACCCTTTTTCGATTCCAGCCCTCATCTCCTCCCGTAGTTTGTGTGACGTAAACAACTTGGAGCATCACAAGGCGCCATTGTATTTTAGACCCCCAGGGTATTCCGATTCACCATATATATCCACCCCAATTCCAAAACGTGGAACCCAACAGGAGGCCCAGGGGGAGGCTACGAGACTTTATTGTTGAGCAATTTATCCTCCATTCAGCTCGTCGTGCCGAGAAAGAGCTTTTCACTGGGTGTGTCCGCGTGATCCTTTCCCCTTCCTTCCCCCTTCCTCCCCCTTCGTATTTTATCGAGACATTAATTAGAATCAACGTATGAAGTTGTTACGTTTACGATATTATCGCGTCCCCGTAGCTCGTTTTACGAGTGTAATTCAAGGATAAAATCATACCGCGCGTCCTTCTACGTCGTCGTTACATTCGTCGGAGAACGTCCAGTGAAAATGCAAAGTGTCGCATCGATACGTATTTATCTCGTTATATCTCCGCCGCGCGAATTAATTAGCAACTATTTATACTGGTCTCGGTCTCGGACGGCGTTCCATCGTCATGAGGTGATTCGCTCGTTCATAATCTCCTCGGATCGATCCGGATTAAGCCGTTGTACACAAGCTGGTCGCGATACGTTAAATCTCCCTCCGATTCTCTAGGTCCCGGCCTTTTATTTTCTCCCTCCAGAGAGTGTGTCTCATGTAACAGACCGCAACAGACGCGTATAATCGTTCGCTTCTAATCGTATTTGCAATCGCGATCAAATTGCGAACATAGTGAATCTAAATAAGCCGCAAATAAAAAGGGTAGTCCCATCTGAGGCACAAAACATGGTTGCCACAAATTCTTCGTCCTAAAATTCCATAATTTTTCTCGGATTTTCATCAAAATTTCATTATTTTCCCTAACTTTCAATAATATTTTGAAACTTTTTGTATTTTTGCCTTAATTTGGAACCCATTAAATATTTTGTTGAGAGTGTAATTTAACATAGCAATGTAAATATTATTAATGTTGCTAACCCTGCATTTAATTATTAAATTAATAGTATTTCAAAACTGTGTAGATGTGATGTACGCATATCAAACTTTTTTAAAATCCAGAATTTTTATTTTCCAGAAAATTCTCTAATATTTTCCTGATTACCCTGATCTAATATTTTGCAATTTTCCTGACATTTCCTTGATTTCTAGTTTTGCGGCAATTCTGATAAAGGACGTTTTTATCCAACTCTTTACCAAAGAAAATAAATACTCTTGGATATTTCTCTTTCAAAAATTATTTTATTCTCGGTACTGAAAACTCGGTTCTGATGTATCGAGTCTTTATTCTAGTTCGCGATGTCCTTATACCTAAATTATTCGATTTCAGAAAACCCCGGATCTCGTCCTGCGAGAAAGCGATATGTGCGAAACGAAGAACCAACAGCCACTTAAAAAAGCGAAGTATTACATCGATTGAAAAATATACGCCGGAAACTTTCCAAACAGGCCGACAAATGTCACCCACTTCCGTTCTTTCCTAACCGTGGGACGCCTCGACCTACCCTTTTCCGTACATTGTAAGGATCCCCGATCCATCTGAACTAACCCAGACCTAACCCAGTAACTCCACTCGCGGTCATTGTAACCCTGAGGCAGTCCAACTCCCCTTCCCCCCTTCTCTCTCTCAACATCGCGTCTCTCCGGGTTTCCTCTTCACAATCCCCCCTTTCCTCTTACCTCCTCGTCCCCTATTTACCCCCGCACGTACAAAACATGCGGATCCGTACGCGGAGGCGACGGGGTGGTTGTCAGGGGGGAAAAGGGGGTTATGCGCAGGGGGTTTTCGTGCGCGATGCCACAGCCAACCCGACGGGGTAGTGTCTAGGGGGCTGCGTTCTCTCCCTCTCTCAGTTGGCCGCGATTCATCGCCGGGTATGTACGTCCCGGTCGTCGTGCTGGCCGGGTGGCACGCCAGCAGCAGGTCGAGGAAGCGCGAGAGGGTGGACTTTGGGTCGCGCTTCCGTCGCAACCCTCGTTCTCCACCTCCTTTTCCATCGTCTCCTCCTTCGGTTCCTCTACCTTCTGCTTTCTCGCGTTGTGCTCCGAGAGAGGGTTAAAGTCGCTCTGCACGATTCACGGGGGACTTTTTTTTTCACGGAGGAGCGAAAACAGCGCTGCTCTCGCGACTGCGATAGGCACAACGCTGGTGCCAGACCGATGCGACGCGAGTGCGGCGAGCTGGTGATACTCACGCATACACAATACACACACACGCTAAACAACAACGGACGAGGTGTGTGCAATAATCAAGAAAGTAACGCGGGTATCTTCGTAACTGCATGAATGCTACGGTATAACATCTTAAAATCGTTATATGAAATTGCCTCGACCAACGCCGAGGCTCGAGATCGTACAATCCACTAATCAATTAATTCCACGATCGATAAAATCGATCAGGCTTTCTTCGATCTCGTGATGTGAATTTTTCGCTTCGAAGTGCTTTCGAGATTATCCCGTTCCCTTTGGTGTTCCGGAGTCGCTCGGAGTCGTTGGGAAATTGTGCAGGTAGCTGGCGGATAAATCGGGCGGAGAGGAGAAAATCAAACATCTCCAGAAGCGACAGTGTCATATGATCGATCGTCGACGTACGCATAATAATTGCCGAAGCTAATGTGACGCAAGTTGCACTTGGTCGCTCCATGTCGATTTAACTGAGATTCGGCTAGATTCGGTCGTCGCTCTATAAAGCGACGATCAGAAAGAATTTATTCGTGCTTGATTAAAGAAGAGTGTTTCGGATCCAGTAATCTCTGTAGAAACGCGAGACTACTCTCGGCGCGACAATTAACGCTTCGAGGGAATTTCTTGAATCGCGCGACCCATGAATTAATGGAGCATTTACATTCCCGGGGAAAATGCGAGAAGTAAATGAAATTGCGGAATCAATTGCACGCGAAATTTCGAACCAGGGAAAATCAGGATTAAATGACCAGCAGCTGATCGATTAACCATTAGGTAAACGCTTAACGATCGATTCTGTTCTCTTCCTCTCTCGTAAAAACAAAAACGATCGAGAAATAAGAAGCATCGTAAAAGCTGTGAAAATGAAGAGTTACAGAACGAATCTTTCCTGTTTGCGCAAAAACACTTAATTAACAAAGCTAAAGATACAGATGAAAGATAAATGAAAATATTCGTTCGTTGAATTATTTTTTTTATTAACCTTGATATATTAAGATAAGCATTTTGAGATAATTACGAGTATAAGAACTGCCAATACGATCAACGTGCGTCTGTGTTTGGGGCTAATACGGTAACAGATCTCGTCGAGCACGATGCCTCGGAAAGAAAAATTTCCTTTTACCGAGGCAAGCTTCTTAAAGACAGGATTTAAATTCATCCATCTGTACATCCGGCTTTCAAAAGTTGGATCTTCAAGTTTCTCTCTCGTATATCCTCAAATTTCAAAATTAATAAACGCTCCATCCACATCCTAATATCAAAATATTTTTATAAATATTTGTGGATTTTCAATAATATTTATCTTTCACGGTGTGTCGCGTACGTACACTGAAAAAAAATGTACACTAAATTTTTTAATAAATATTTATTCAGAACTAACTAGAACGTTTACATTTTTTATTCGGTAAATAAATATTTACTGAATAAAAAAATTATAATTAAATCAAATTAATAGTTTGAAATAAATATACCTTTATATTTAATAAATATTTAGTTAATTCAAATATTTAGTCACAAATATTAATTTTTTTCTATTCAAATATTTACTAAAATTTGGAACATTTTTTCAATGCACGGAATTGGGAAAACAGTTCATTGCGTCACGCGCAAACGACCAAGTGCATTCGCGTCGCTGCGGATGGCTTTAACGATTATACTCGTTACGCGGCCAAAACCGGCGATACGGCGTGATCTCGACCTCGCGAGGCTAACAACTCGCGCCTCTCGATTCCACAGAGCGTTCGGGAGGAGAATACTCGATCCGGCCGATAATGGATGGAGGTGAACGCGCAAGTACATTTCGCGGAACGAGTACCAGCGACGAGTACGAACGACGAGCAAGACGGCTTTGCATAATCCGCCGCGCGCCGACCTGCCTCGTCGAGAGAGAAGCGGAGGACGGGATGATTCCACACGGCGCGACGAGGATCGCATTTTTATTACGACGGTCGATCGCGCGATCGGTTGGTCCTCGGTAGAGAAGAGCGAGAACGAGAGAATCCCGCAGAGGAGATCTGGTCGCGTGGCACGGAACGAACGAATGAACTCTCGTCGTCGATTCCGCGAGACTGAAAAATCGTGGACTGGTCGCCGCTACAAGGAGAGGAGATCTTTCTTTTCTTTTTTCTTTTCCGCCTTCGTTCCCTTTTTACGGCGTCGCGCGCGCAATGCGGACTACCAGGGGGAAGGAAGTGCATCTCGTCGAAACCGGAGCAAGGTGATTAATCACCCGCCGCTGCGGATGCATTGACCAGTCGATGCAGCTGCACCCGCGTGCCGCGACTCGCCCACGCAATCTTCTCAGTCTCGTCTCGCAGCCGATCGGGAATGCATGAGAATCGCGCGGCGTAGGTAGGTGAGACGCAAACGACTATTCGTTGCGAGCGAAGCGAGAGAGATTAGAAGTGGCACGGAATCGTCAGATCGGGGGTCTTAGTCGTCGATCGGTCACGGATCTCACATTGATCTCGAGGAAACGCCGTGACTAAACGGTATTGGGATGATTAATGGTTTTTTGCGAGAGATGCACGCGACGATATCGATGTTACACTATATCGGAGTTTAAGACGCGGGTTTAAGGCTATGCCAGCAAAATCGTTTACGTTTGAGGCGCAGACTGCGATTTCTCTTTTACACATGTATATGTTATATAAAACAGGGAACATCACTGTTAAATCAAAGGAGCAATCGTAAACTCAATCCCTCGAAGACGTTTTAATTAATGTTTTGTTATTTTTAACCTCCATGTATTAAAATGTAAATCAATCCATTTCTGTTAGTTTCAAAGTAAATAACATTATTGACATGTACATTTAGTAAACTAAATTTCAATCAGATTTAATACATTCTTTTTAGTTAAATCATTTAAATCTATTGTTTTAATTAAATTAACGACATATCGAGTGAGATCACTTATAGAAATGATTAAAAATAACTCAAATTATGTGTAACTTAATATTAAGGATTTAACAATGATTATTTATTCGAAATTAAAATGTAACACGCAAAAAGAAAGACTTATGAGAAATTGGAACGGCGAGATGAATTGTATCAATAAATATAAACTAACGGGATTCTCGACGCTGATTAAAGAGGCATAGCTAAGAGACAAAATGAGAAATTAGTTTTCTAATTGGTTGGAAAGTTGATAGATATCGATACGAATTATTTTCGATGAAGGGGCACGGAGTGGTTTGGGTGTCCGGGCGGGATCGCGGGGCTTCATGTCGCTTTAAAAAGAAGAGCATGTCGGTGCAGTGTTGCACATCGGTCCATCAGTAACAGCTGCATCATGGACGCGCGTTGCATTGTCTCGCGTCAGCAAAAATTCACTGGCACGAGAGGCTTACTTATTGTACACCGGCGCGACCTTTTCCCCGCCGTTTTATATCCCGGTCGCGTAAGCTCCGGCGATGTGCGAGGTTTATCATACGATTTAATAGCGTTCTGGAAGGTTATTGGTCCGTACAAACTTGGAACGTTACGAGGGACTTAGAGAAGAACTCCCACTCTTGCTCTCTCTCTACCTCTACCCTGTAGATCCTTTCATTTTACGTTCGGCGATCGATCGAAGAATTTAATCTGCAGAGAAAGAGCAGACCGGCCGCTTTCTCTCTCTCTCTCGCTCTCTTTCTCTCTCTCGTTTCATTATCAATAGCGACCGCTGATTTTCCGCTCCACGGCCATAGGCGATAACATTAAGTTACGCGCTCGCGATGATCGTTAAGTTATTACAGTATTTATCATTTCCACTGACACGCCATAAATATTTTAATGCGATATGCATTATAATCTCAATGCGGATAAAAAGAAAAGCTTTAAATCTACTTTAAATTGGACCTCTTTAGATTAGGATCATTTTAAAGCTTTAAATTCCGTTATTTAACTTGAGCAGAATAAAATTCATAAAAATAAATATTTGATTTAAAATGACACGTATTATAGTGAACTAAAAACGAAAAATCGGTTATGCAGTGACTGTGATAAAGAATTGGTAAAATTTCCGCGAGGATTGCACGTCCATTGCCAAGCTGATGTCAATTAAAGCAAATGTCAGATATCGACCTTTGTAGAGTGGAATATCGAATTCCGCGTTGCGGCTCCGATACACTGACCTTCGCAACATTTGTGTCCACGATTTTTGCACGATGTATTTTTCATAAGGTGTTCTCAGTACTTAGGAAATGAAGATCTTAAATTCTCGCCCTAAATTCTAGCATGAGATTTCTGCGCGCGTACGTGCGTGCGTGCTTGCATGTTAATTTAAATTAATCGTCGCTGCAGCGACAACTGATTTAATGCGTGGCTCAATCCGGCCTCTGACACGTTCACGAGGGATGAGTTACGGTAATTCGCGTGCAAGACAGAATCCATTTACAATGGAGACATTTACAGAGTAGATACATACGCGCAATTCCACGTGGGTGTTTAATGCATCGGGGCTTTTGTGTTCCTACACTCTATCTGCATTATCGTTGCGTGTTGCGCGATTTTTCGCGAGAACATGATTTCTCTGTTCCGCGTAAAATCACGGCGATCATGCTCGCGATAACCGAGCGGTAAAATCGGTAAGATTAATGTTCGCAACACGTGGTAAGAACATACCGTATCGCAGTCCGTATTCGATTATCAGTTAGAATTAATCCAAGATCGATAATAATATTGTAATATTCTCAGATAAATGCAGTGCACAATGGACAGAGTTCTTTTCCATTTGACGGACAAATTTTTTAAAATTTGATTTCACTATGTAATGAAATGAGTAAAATTTATTTAATACGCAAATGTACAATAGTTGCCAAAAATTTTACAAATAATTTTTGTCAATTTATTTCTCAAAAATTTATATTGTAAATTATTAAAAATTTTTTATACTCAACTTAAGAACATAATATTTTAACTTAAGAACATAATATTTTAACTTAAGAACATAATATCATATATTAAATATATTATAAAATATTTGTGTGAACTTTTATTTGTAAACATTTTTTTATCTCAAAATAAGCAATACAATAAAATTATTTATTGATCGGAGACTTTTGGCAGCTACTGTATATATGTCCAGTAAATTTCACAATATTACAATTCGACTCACTGATACGTGATTATTCCTTTGTATGACAGGCTTATCCGGCTATCCTCGGCTTACGTGAGAGAACTATGGTTGCTTTTTTTTTTAAAAAGAAAATTCGTAATTAAAATTTGGAAGCACGTTTCGGACCTCACATGCAAGAGAGATAATTCGAACACGCGGACGTGCGACGCGTTTGTAAATTGTACGTCAGAGAATAGCGTCGATGGGAGAAAAGTAAACGAAAGATGATCCTGTATACACGTATCTATGTCTGTGTGAACGATAAATTTCGGATTCACGATGCTGCAGATTGCGCTTGTATAGTTGGGCGTATGTATGATGCTTTCACCAAAGTACTTTCCACTTTCCTCTCACTGAGCTTATGGAAAAAGTTTAGTTTTGGTGCCGATATATAGTCGTCGTTTTGATTTTTCGCGTGTGTAGCGATGAAAGAGGAAAATGACGATGCGACTCGAACGAATACTAAACTTAGGTGACAAATCAATTACTCAGAAATTCAATCGTCTACGACGCAACAGCTCACAGAGAAAAATGTTAAGTGTAATATGCGCTAGAATTCTATGATAAATTTTCTGGAATTGGGGAAGATTCTGTAAAGTAAATCTATAAGTAATACATTTTAATAGAATTTACTTTATCGACGAGTATTTTTTGCCTTACTGCTAAAATTTACTGCGTAATAAAAAATACAATGTATAAAGCCTTGAGTTATTCATGCTTATCAGAGAGTTGAGCATAATATAATTTACTGTAAAGTAATAATTACTGGATTTACTATAATCGTAATGTACTTTTTACTTTACACCTCCGACATTTTTACTTTCAAGTACACTGAGAAAAAAACATATATATATCCTAAATTTCAATAAATATTTATTTGAACAGTACCTAAATATTTATTAAATATAAGAATATATTTCTTTAATACAAAAAAATATTAATTTGATTTAACAATCATTTTTTTTTATTAAGTAAATATTTATTTATATAAATGTTTAGTTGGCAGTATTCAAATAAATATTTATTTAAATTTAGGCTTTTTTTTCTCAGTGCAAGTAAAGTTTGTCATAAGTTCGGCAAAAATAGTCAGAATATTTTTACTAGTCTTATAAAGTAAAAATTATTCAATCATTTGTCTCCGTGAAGGATTTTTCCTCTCTCTGCATTTCAATGGAAGACTTATAAGTTGCTAATTGCGGCTAATTAGAGTTAATGATAATATAAACGAGCAAGATGAAGTAATTAGTAAATATATAGATGGAGAACAACAAACGAGACAAATTGGCGGAGATTTAATCTGATGAGTGGTTGCAAAGATACTTGATGGTAATGTTTATCGCGCAAATATTTCTCGAGCGAAAAGGTAATTCTGGAAACGCGAAAATATCTCGTAATGAAACATTGGTGAACGTTCGACGACGGCGACGATCGATCGACATCAATAAACTCGTAATTAGACCATTCATAATGGCGGATCCGGCATGATTTAACGGATCTACGGTAGATCGTCCTCTTTGCTCTCTGCTCACAAAAACTCACGCGCCACGCGTTGCAATAGGTTTCCGATTGAGTATAATTGAACGTGACGTCGAGTAGCATTTCCCGATATTAAACAAACACGCTAACGAATATCATTCACGGTTATTACATCGACATTAAATACAATCGAAGCGACCGTGCACATCGAAATACTCTATACGAACACGGTTAACAGTATCCTGAACCGTGGAAAATATAACTGTGCACACATCATAATAAGTAGGTAATTATAACGTCAAGTGAACAATACGATTGCGGGACGACGCAATAACGGTAATAACGGTTATTGGATTTTACGATCGCCGAGCATTGTAACTTTCGCACATTCGCGAATTCTCGTAATCGGCAAATTTTTGCGAAGGAGATTTCGTGAATTTTTAATATAATAGAATTATACTCGCGACGATCAATGAGAGATCGCGAGAGATTCGCTTGTCGGCGATTTATCCGCGTCCAAGTAATTCTGATCGATTGTGAAGTCACGCGGAAGTGCCTGGTTTCATTCATGCATAAGAAGAACGGATTGTCATTTTCGTGGCGTGATTGCGGTCGTATCCTTCACGCGACGCGAATGGAAAGGTCGCCTTGGAGAGGCACCGCGTCGTAAGAATCTCCTCGTAGCGGTACAGGGATCAAAACTTTTCAGCCAGCCAGAGCCAGCCGGCGTCTCATAATTTATTCTCCCGCGAACGAGATGGAGGAGAAAAAGAGAGAAACGCTTTGAACACTTAAAAACCTGCCACAGAGTGTAAAGAGAAGAGTATAAGGGATATCTCCCCTCTTCTTTCTCTCTATCTTTGCGTCCCCTTTTTTATATCCTCTCAGTAGCGTCACAAATCCTACAAACGAGTCGGAACGTATTACTCCGGTCCGTCTGTTCGTCCCTCTTTCTTACGCGTTTTCTCATTTTTCTTCCCCCTAACTGCCGTGGCATATCGCGGCCGCAATTCGCGACGTTTATCGTCGAGAGAGAATAAATATCTAATGTAGGACTGAACCTTAGTTGGACGTTGGATCACAATAACCGTAAACAATAATTTAATCCTAGGACGAAGATATATGACGGTTATGCACTAGGCATTACGTGATGGTTACGTTGGAACGTACGTGGATTAAAAGAGGATTGCAGCTGAGTATCAACAGCTGTAGAGAGAAAGAGAGCAAGAGAGAAAGAGAGATGATGTATGTTTTTTAAATTAATGACCGACGTGGACCGGTGGAATTCCGCCGCGGGCGTTGCGGAAAATACTACGTTTCTGCCGGCGTCACGTGTTCTGCGTAATTGATGTTCGATCGATCGATCGATCGATCGATCGCTAGTCGCGCTAGATAGACACGCTGCGCCGATTACGCTTTATGGAGATCGGAAATAAATCGTTCGCGATAAAATCGACCGATTTCCTCCCAACGCGAACAATGTACCCCGATGCAAAGGCACTACTTGCAGCCAATTTTGTAAAAATATTGCATAAACAATGCGTCATCGTAAGTTTGCAATACTCGATAAATGGAATCGCTGATAACCGATTGAAAGATAGCGTGTATTTAGCTTTAAATTATCTTTTACCGTTACGTAAAAGATAATTATTCATATTACGTGGCCGTACAATACTGATTAATGAAGAGGATTACTTGGCGCTGTTGCGATATGGGAGACAGGTGAAAATTTTTGAATTTTAATAAATACTTAGTTAAATATAGTGCCACCTAAATATTGATTAAATATAAAGATATATTTATTTGGTAACAAGAACCATTAGTTTGATTTAACAATCATTTTATTTACTGAATAGAAATTTGTTTGCTATAAGGAAACGTTTAGTTGGCAGTATTAAACTAAATATTTATTAAAATTGACTATATATTTTACTCGGTGTAAAAAAAATGCAATTTTATGCTGAAAGAATTCGACGTGCCAACTCTCGCTATCGACTGTCGGTTTTAAAGTTAAATCGTATTGAAAAAACAGGACCAATGGATCGATCAAAGTTCGTACCTGCAATCGAGCAACTTATATGCATCCTCAATCGTTTAATTATTTAATACAAATCTTACTCTTCTTCGAAAAGTTACTCGTGTTGAATGAAAATTTCATTACATGTGCCGGTAAAGTACATAATAAAATTATACAATTTCATGAATTGTTATCGTCATTTCGCTTTTTTAATTGTATATTAGAAGGTTGAAACTAAGTAAAATTATGATTGAAAACCATATCATGATGTAACCATTTAATAAAAGCATAAAACGGGGATGATCTTACTGGTGAGAAATAAAAAATAAGAGAGAGATAAAGTAAGGGACAAGATCAAAAGACAGAACAAATCGCTCGACGAAATCAAACTTTGTCAAACGTTTTGTTTTAGCGTACGGGATGGCGACCCCGTGAATCAAAATCGCCAGTTAATCCGACGGTAATTACGGGTAAATTCAATCGAATTAATGGTCGTCGTCAGTGCGTCGCGTGAGTTATCGGCTGGCTGCTGCCAGGGACATGAGGCTGGACTTCGTGACCCGATATTGCGTCGACAGTCCCGATATTGGCAACGGCAGCAGCAGCAGCAGCATCATTTCGTAGTCTTGGAACGAGAGGAACAATAGTCAGCACGATACGCGAGTCGCGTATCTATCTTTGACGCCGCCGATCTCTCTAACCGGCAGAATTCCATCGCGTCGGATTGCGAAAAATATTTTGCAAGATTGCCCTCAAGACCACGAGCTTGCCGATAATTATTGGATAAACATTTCTATCAATCTTCAGCAGGCAAATAACTAGTCGCACTAGAAAAAAAATTTAGCACGCTTCCAGCAAAACTATTTACTTCAGTCGAGGCAATTGTAATAAAACATCTTGTTTACGTAATAAAAAATGTAGTTGCCTACGAAATACATTCCTTTATAAATAACAAAAATATTTGTTCATATCGACCGAACAATTTAGTTTGCGTAAAATTACAATTTTATTCGATATATTTTAAATAAGAATTTTTCTTCGGCATATTTTAACTTTTAAAATTTTTGTTTTGTTATAGCAAAATTTTAGTTCATGGTACCAAATATTTTTCTAAGTGCGATATTGATTACTCGTCTTTTGTAAAAATTCGTATAGTATTAATAATAAAATAATAACGAGATAGAAAAAGAAATTGTTATGTCGAACAAATCTTATTTTCTGTCATCGAAAGATAGCTTTCCGTTATGTAAAATGGACAGCTGATAAAAAGCGCATGATCACGTCGGCGGAATATTTCGAGGAATCGTGTCACGCTTTGCATGCCGACGGACGCGGTATTTTTTAAAACGCCTCGGACGGGCCATAAGGCATACTCTCCGTGTCGCGTCCGATTTTATTTCCGTTTCGTTACGGACAGCACGGATAATAACAGCCGGACCGTGCATTCCTCGACCGCGGGCGCGGAGAAGCGCGTTGAATTTTTGCATCGCGCCGCGCGAAGTGACGTCGCATCGTCGACGGCCAATGGACGACTGCTAATGGACTGCGACGTTTTTTCAGGCGGAGTTAAAAGCCCCGACCGGTGACGTTTTGCATGCACACTATATTTATACTTGTGCACTATTAGCCAACCCGATACGATAAGACACGGGTCGTGGACGACCGAGAAAAGATGTTAGAAATGCGAACCGTGTTCGCGTAGAAGTGCTTGACAACGATACAATCGATACAATCGAAAAAATATATATCTTAAAATATATGTGAGAAATTTCTTATCTTTCATGTTTCCATTTATTTCATTAAAAAAAAAATGTATAAAATAAATTGATAAATAATATTTAAACAATACCTTTGTAATATAACGCATTCGGTTTTTTTTCAAATTTTTTTGCATTGTTTTTTCCATTGCTTGCAACTCTTTTTTAGTAACAAAGATCGTATCTACATTTGCTTGATATAAACTTATTGTAACTATTCGTTCCAAACACAACGCCAGTAATTATGAAAATAATGAATGAAATAAAATTATAACAAGTTTATCTTTACGAAAATTATAAGAGACGTTTTAAATAAAACTATATTGTCAAAGTATAAGCATCAAATATAATTTTTCTGTCTCTATCGTCGTATATAATTTAATATATTTTATTCGCGAAAGAGAGAGAGAGAGAGAGAGAGAGAGAGAGAGAATTTCTTTCACATCAAAATATACGTAACATTTCTGCCTCCGAGTCCGCATTAAAATTTTTATTATTTGTAATATTTTCCAGCGCGAGCGAATCACCAAGCATCTCATGAATTTAACTCGACTTGGAGGAACAGTAAATATTAAATAAAAGCGTGGCTTTTGCAGTTAAAACGCAGTTTCGCTCCTGACTAGAAACGAAAAAATGCGGTCGCGCGATTCCGTGCCGACTTCGAGATGAATTTCAAGCGCAATGTTCTTCAACACTCTGGGGTCCTTTTCGCAGGGCAGCCTTTCGGACGACAAAATAAAATCTGTGCCACGTAGATGCGAGAGAATCGAGAAGAAACGAGATAGCTCGACGACAACGACGTATGACCCAGATGTATAGGAAACAATCGCAAGCAAAAGCGACAATAATGACGACGCTAGAGATAAGTGTGGAATCCAGACAATAAATATATAAGACTGATATCGCGCCCCCGAGGAAAGGATAACACTGCCCATGTGGGAAGGAGATAGCAACGTATCGATTGCACGCGCGAAATATCCTCTGTTGTTCCCGCGTGGAGGAGACGCTCGTTTCTCGAGAAACTTCACTCCTTCGTGTACCTTTCCGCGAAGACAGAGCACTTCGAAAACACCTGGGACACTTCGAATATCGACTAGCTAGCGAACGAAGAGAAGAGGTATGGAAATCGTGAGACCCACCGATCGCGACTCTGTGAAGATCTCCGTGACACGCTAATTCCTAGGCGAGGACAGTGGCCGACGAAGATACGAAGAAGAGATGTCACTGAATCACAGATATTACGTAAGTAATTTGGATCTGTTTTCAGGAGAAATGGGAGAGGATATAAAATGTCGTAATGACGATGAGATATGACTTTTATGTGGGATACTAAAATAGTGACATGTTCTATCCGGCGCTTAAGTTAAAATTGTCGGAAACGCGAATAACGAGAGGTTTCTTTTTATGAGAAATATAATGAGGGGAGATTATGAGAACAAACCCATCCTTTACGAAATTCTTATACCTAGTTTACAAGTACACTAATAATAAAAATCTAAACAATTCAGATATAAAATAAGTGTCTAATAACAGTGTCTAAGTTAAGCACATGGCAAACTAAAAATAAAGTAATATAAGAAGAACCCAAAAAAATGGTCGCATCCTCGGCACTAATTGTATGCTTACTAATTTATGCTGAACTTAATTAAATTAAGCGTCATATCTCTATAATACTATAACGAGAAAATTTTCAAATTCAAACGTTTACTCAGAAGATAAGCCGATTTTTTTCGTACTAGCGAGACACGCCCCGATTTGCGTCGTTGTATTCATTCTAATGCGGGGAAAAGTTTTTAGTCGCGAGAGCGCCGCTAGAAGAAGAGCACTCGTCGCTGTAAACTTCAAAGTCGATTAGTGGATACATCGTGTTGATCTCGCGCACGTCAAAGATGCGAGACAAATATTAAATTTAACCGCAAGATGCAAATTTAAGTAACCTCAATCATTTTCCTCTCGAAAACAGATTTTTTTAGTTATGACAATATTATATTCATGGACGCAGTCACTCGAAAAAAATCTATAAAGATATAAATTAAACATTTAGGTCTATTTTCATAACGTATGATTCAATTTCATGACTCTAGTTATTGTTTGAATTTCTGAGTGTCTTGACTAGAATGTTTGATAGATTTAATTATATAGCCCGTTTTCACAATGTAAGTATAGTTACCCAAAGATGAAAGATTACCGAGAAATTAATTAACAAAATTCATTCAAATTAAAATAAATATAATTTTGTGACTCTAAGAATAAATCAAATATATAAAAGTAAATTGTATATTTAAGCTTCCGCAGATGTTAATGTATAAATAATATAAGCCGATAAAATATAATTCGTAAAAAAATTGGAATGCACTCTCTTACCAACAAAATTAATTACAAACGTTTCAACTCTAAATTTGAGTCCTCTTCAGTGCAGAAGTCAAGTACAAGCTGCACTTTGTTCATTTCATGATAACCTTTAATTTTTAGGTAACCGCATATTGTGAAAATGGGTTATATAATTAAACCCATCAAACATTCTAGTCGAGATAACCAGAACTTCAATTACAATAACTAGAGTTTTGCTTGGAATGTAATCAGAATGCATTTTGTTCGCATCTCTTGTTGATACAATCGGAACATTTTTCTCACCATTGTAATTACGAATAGCAGTACATTAAACTATTTTCGGAGTAAGAAACTCTGCTTCTCTTTCTGTTGCGCAAATTACGTTGGCCCAGTTAATAAAGTATGCCGAGATTACACGGCTGTTTCGCGCCAGTGCTACAATGCGGCGTACTGGACGACAAATTCGAATCTCACCGCAGTACGGTGGTTATTGTTCGCAATGGCCGTATCCAGAACATAATAGATAAGCGTGGACCTCGCAGGCCGAGCGACAGCCTTGCCGCTGGATATCGACCGCTGCTGTCTCCTATCCTTCCTGTGCATCTCCCGTGGCGCAACTGCGTCCGAGAAATTAAAGCTATCCGTTTTAAAACCCCTTCATCCTCGTTGTAATATGTCTAAACGGACGGAAAACGTATCCCACGTGCGCTCGGATAATTATGAATAATTCAAGTAGTTTCTTCTTTATTACGTTTCCTTCTGCGTGCGAATTTTTTCCTGCTACTTCTACAAAATATACCATCGAGTTGTATCTCCATATCATTACATAATGTCATTAATATATGATCTACGTACATTTTGCGTAACCAATACGTTTCGTCACGGCACGCAGGCGAACGATGGCGTTTGATTTCTTTTCTCGACGCGACATCGGAAGTATCGCTCATACGCCGAGTGGAGAGAAATTATTTATGTATGTATGCATCTTGTATATCGATTCTCGCACGCCAACACGACGTATATTATTATTATTACCTTCCCGTGTTTGACGAGGAGACGCAGCGCGCATCAAGAGCAGCTGCAACGACGCGGTCGTGCATGCGGGCGGACATATAAAATATAGCGGTAAAAGTGTCGCTGACACGTTAGAAAAATCGCTACTGCAGCCGAAGGAATAAATTATCGATATACGTCTCTTGTTCCCTACTAAGCCATCGTGCAGAGTTCGTAAAATTAAAGCGGATCGCGTCAAATTTTTTCTGAGAGATAGGCATCGATACCGGTCGAAATTTATGGATTTTCATGCCTATTTCGTTCGTAGGAGCGTTAAGGAAGCTGCGGATATGTCGAAGCTAGAGATCCTTAAAAGATTGGACACTGATTAGGTAACTTCTGATTAATTCACCGTACTTTTCAAGACTTGCTTAAGATAGAATGAGATAGATGCATAAGAAAAAATGAGATATCATTCTATCTTATGTACAATCGATCTCATTCCATCTTAAGCAGGTCTCGAAAAATATGGCGGACCAAGCATGGTGTCCAATTTCTTACTTGAGGATCTCTAATCGAGATAATTATCATCGGGATAAGGAGAAACGATGACACCGGGAAAATTAATGTTCGCTAAAAATTTGATTAGTAAAGTTGTGTTGATTAGTTAAGTTATTATTACGATTGATTATTTTATAAAATGTTTTCTGAACGAAAGAAAAGATCAGCTAAACAGTTTTCTATAAAGTTATCTTCTCTTCGTTTTGACAGAAATAATTAATTGCAACGTGAGGAAAGAATTGATATTAAAAATAGCTAAAGAGCAAATAACTAAGAAGTAATTTAAATGATAGACTCAATTGAGCGAAGAATTGCGAGTGGGAAATATCGGAGCAGAAGAAATTTCTATTGTTTATATTCTGTCTCTGTTTAAAATAGGTTCTACAATTAACAGACCGTCTACTAGAGACGAACAACAGCGGTAATAAGTTCAACTCTTTTAAGACGCACGGTGTTCCGCGAATTCTGCAGGGAGGACATCAAAGTCGTTATTGTTAGCTGGCAAGAATACTTAGCACTTAACAACAACGAACAAAGGTATCGGACATCAAAGACTCTTTGTCGGGAAAAATTATTACATAGGATACTTACATAAGTATTCATATATACGTACAGATTGTTTAAAAGCCCTGCATTTAAATCGCTGCTTCAAATCATAGAGACATTAGACGGCAATATTCTTTGGCAGGAATCCCAAGAAGTTTCAAGTTACAAGTGATTAAGAATTAATCATTCCACCGAATTAAAATCTGAAGACTGAAACTGCAGACGCGAGCGATTGAAGTATTAATTCCTATGGAGGTATATTAATTCTTAACATACGGGCTATTAAGAAGTTTTAAGTCATAAGGGACTAAAAATTAATCAATTCGCTGAATTAAGATCTGAAGCTGCGGACGATCAATTGAAGTATTAATTCCTGCGGTGATATATTAAGTTTCTTAGCACGCGGGATAGCAAGAAGTTTTAAATTATGACCAATTAAAAAATGATCGTTTCGCCAAATTAAGATCTGAAATGATTGATTGTATAAAATATTAATATCTGCAGATGTATATTAAACCTTAGTACGCAAAAATATTACTAATATGGTCAAGGACAGTGGTTCATTTCTCAAACGCACGTCAGTCGATCTCGTACGAATTGATGACCGTATCGATATTTCGCATTTCACGTTCGTGAAATCCAGGTGATCGGTGTCGAATGATCTGCAGGTTCGCGCACGTTTATTCATAGACAGCTCGGGCATCACGTGCGATGCAGACGCTCGTTAAACACGCGTGCAAACCTGCTTTGCGTGTTGCACACGCGCGACAATCCTCTGTGCCGATCGTGCTGTATTGTTCTTTTGCTCTGTCGGCCGAGACGCTTTAAAGGCAGCTGAATCATCTCCTATTCGTAGACGAGGGTGCGCGCTAAGCATCAGAAATGACTCTAATAATCATTAAAACTGAAATATCATGTTTATGCTAATATATTTCAGGATTGTACGCGCTCATCTCACCATAGTACGGAGGATAGACAATCGAAGATTACCATTTGACATTAGGTTTTGGATATAAAGTCATATGTAAAGAGATTCAGATTTGAGATACAATCTCACGTTCATTTTCTTTCTTTTCACATTTCCTTTTTATATGAAATTTCTCATTTCATTACGAATAATTGATATGTAACTTTTCACATAAAATATACTCATTTTGTTATGAATATAAATCGTGACATATAAATATTCTAAGGAAAGTGCATCATTCATGCCAGTTTCCATTAATGTAGGTTAACAATGTAAATTAATTTTGGCCAAATTCCTCGTTTTAAAATTCCATAATTGTTCCAGATAAAATTTTATGATTTTTTTCCTTATTCAATAATAATTTGAAATTTTTTGTATTTTTCATTTGGAAACCGTTAAATAATTTTTTGCAACAGCAATTTAACTAATTTAATAGTAACGTAAATTACTATTAATGTTACTAACACTTGCATTTAATTGTTGAGTTAATATTTCAAAACTACATCATAATGTACGCATATCAAATTTCTTTAAAATCGAGAATTTCTAATTTCCAGAAAATTTTGCAAAATTCCTGACTTTCCCTTGATTTCCTTAACGGTTTTCAATTTCCCTGACATTTCCCTAATCCCCTTAATTTCCATTTTTGTGACAATCCTGACTAATTTTAATCTCGTTTCGACTTACTCTTTGTCCTTTTCTAATTCTAAGAATTCGAAAAAGACGAAAAGTCAAGTTGAACCGAGATTAAAGTTAATCTACATTGGTGGAAATGGGCATTAAGATGTCAAATTTACGCGGACAAGATTGCGACTGTCGACGTCCATCGTCGTCGTTTGTTGCA